ATTTCATAATTATTGTGATGCTTGGAATTGAGGAATGGGCTTTTTATAACCCATTGAAAATGGGAAATCAGGTATAATGGTTTTGTTAAAAGTATGTACCAGGCATAAGAAGGCGTGGGAGACCCCACAGGGTCGACCAGCTGAGTCTTTTAGCCCTGTCCGTCTGTCTGTCCGTCCGTATGTATGAACGCGTCGATCTCAGAAGATATAAGAGCTAGAGACTTGAAATTTGTCTTCCTAGGTTCGTGTATATCACGCGCAGTTGCGAGTTTTTCTCCAAAAACGATAACTACTCCCGATATTTTGTTATCGATTAAAAACCTTATCGTAAACTAGTTATTTACCTATATCTCTCACACTTTTACAGCTACAGTCTCCAAACTTTAAATTTAGACTAAGATGTATTTTATATAATGTCGATTTTTATTGTATTTTAACCCCCACCCTTATATCCACCCCCTCGCCCACATATTGGTAAAAGGCGTATTTCAAATACTAGAGACTTGTGCTTTGGCATATGCATGCATTTGATATAATATGTTATGATAACGATCTACAAGTTTCATAGAGATAGTCCATCGACAAGAAAAGTTATTAAACAATTAAGTTCCCATAGTAAGCCTACACTGCAGTCCATGTGTGTTTATGCGTGCATGCCTGTGTGTGTTTTTCTTGTGTAAGCAGAATGACGCGAATAATTATTGAAATATCAATTCTTAAAAGGGTTCTTAAAGGGTTCGTAGTCGAGTAGCCTCGACGTGAGCTTTCTTATTTCTTTACATTTTTATTATATGGATACATTAATACTATATGGGTATGCATATATGTATGTATATACACGTATATGAAGCCTGGTCTGTTATGAGTTCTTGAATAAAGTGATAATCAAAACTCCCGTTTATCAGTGCAATCCGGAGAGTTAAAAATATACTCAATTGGACAATACTAATTTTTATGAATTGCAAAAGACATAAAATACAAATAAGTAAATAAAATAAGAGTGACGATATTTACCTATGATGCAAATTTGAACTAGCTTTCAAGCAACAAAAGTTAGGCTTCTCAGTAATTCCAATCAATTCAAACGTTTCACTTACGCCGGTGAAATCGGTCAACATTTATGTAGAGCTTAGACTTTGAATAGCTAACGTTTATTAAAATGTCAACAAGTTTTCGGCATATGGTTTGTGATCAGCTAGCAAACTAAACAATCTGTGTGAGCTACGGTGATCTATGCTTTACTGATCGTCATTCCGAATAGCGACAATCAGTCAGTTAGTCAGTCAGTCAATATTTCAGTCACTCAGTCAGTCATTCACACAGCCAGACATTTCATCTATCTACATACATATGTATATGTATGTATACATATATGTGTATGTGTGTGATTCCGAGCCAAGGCAAATGTGAAGCACTTTTTCTGTGCATATGTGTTTATGTATATGTTTGTTTCTTTGTTTTAGCACACTAAAATGCACAATTGAATTCGAAAAAATAGAAGATGAGAATATTGCTACTGACTGCACTACTATGGGATACAATGTGATTTATTTATTTATTTATAAAATTGTTTGAGCAACGACAGCGACGGATTTCAATTTAAACGCCATGCAGGCAGATTTAATAAAGCGCTGCAGCAGCCGCAGGACATTCAGGCGCTGCTGAGCAGCTAGTGAGACGAACGGAGGAGAACTGAAGGAGGCGGGAGTTCGGCTTGACGAGGATGTCAAGCAAAATAACTTTAAATTAATTAAAAAGCGCATGCAAAAATGTTTTTTCTTTTGGTGGAAAGAGGCGAGCACATGCTTATGCATAGAGAAAGCGACTGAGAGAGAGAGAGAGAGAGAGAGAGAGAGAGAGAGAGAGAGAGAGAGACGGCGGAATGGTGAGCAGAGACCGTGTGCGTGTGAGTGTCTGTCTGTGTTGGTTTTCTTCGCAAGCTAAAGACGACAAGACGACAACAAGAACGACGACAGGACGCATCAATGTCGCGGAAATTAATTGAAACGAAGGCAGGAATTTCGCTCGACTTGTGTTGTAAAGTCTTTTTGGGGGCTGGAGGGTTTCTTTCATCAAAATTAATGCGCGGATAGTGCTCCATGGGGAGTGAGAGAGAGTGGCTAAGTTGAGAGCTGTAGCGAATTATAATTAAAGCGCATTTAAAGCGATTTATGATTTGCCGATCCAGTCCAGTACGACCAGTCCAGGGCGTTGCAGCAGCTGCCAAGGGATGTGGCAAATGTGGAGAGCTTATTGCAAGGATTATCGCACGCCCACAAGACGCATCTCTATCTCTATCTCACTCTCGCTTTCGCTCTCGACCTCAGACCGTTTCTCTCGTGGGGTTGGCCAACGAAATGAAATTAAGCAAATAAATTTTCGAGTCGGATTAGTTGGTCCAAGCGACGAGTGAGTGTGGTACGCTTTTTGCGGCTTAGACAGAACTAGCTGGCCAACTTCTTTTTGGCCAACTACTATGTGTGTGCTTGCGTATGTATCCGTGTCCGTGCTGTGCCTGTGGCTAGCTTAGTGGCAGTCTGCCGAACTAAGGCCCAAAGAACAGCCGAACAGGTTGCTGTACGAGCTGCCGCCGGAGTTGCCTCTATTCTGGCTGGGCAATTAAATGTTGGCGCCACCTCAATCAGACACTCAGCTCCGCTCAGTGCCTGCCACAACACATGCAAAAAGCCGCAGATACACACACTCTCAGCAAATGAAAAAGAACAACACAAATAGAACTAAATAAATAAATTGAAAGTAAAACAAAGCGAGTCAGAGATTGAAAAAAAAAGAACAACAAGAATTGCAATTGCAATTGCCTTTGGCTTCCATTTCAAAAATTACAAATTTAATGACATTTCGCGAACGGGGCAGCGAGTACCAAAAAAAAAAAAAAAAAAAAACAATTCGCACAGAGAAGAGATGAGATTTATAAATATTTTCAGCGTGGCTGGCTAAAATAAGACCTAAATTGTCCAAGCACCAACACAAATAAACCCACTCCACTCCACTCCAATTCCAACGCAAACCTAGCTGACATCAAAGCTCGAAACGAAATGAAATCCAATTCAATTATGAAATTAAATTTATGTTTTCAAAAGAGTCAAAAGCACAACAGAACAAGCTGTTGTTAGAAATTTACCAGCAGGATAAGCGTCTTGTTTAAAATACAATTTACCTATCCAGGCTGATTATCGTAACTGAGATTTGAATAGTATCGATTTTGATTTTGATTTGTCGACAAATCCTCAAAGAAACTCTACTCTTCCAAAGCTTTGTTCTTAGTTGCTTGCAAAAATTGAATAAGTGTAAAATGTTTTGTATAAATATGTAAATCTGATTTATATCAAATAATGCTGAAAGACCATCTATTCCGTAACTCAAAAATGTACTGGCTAGTAATACTCCTGCTATTACTACTACTAAGTGTCTATATTTATATATGTATATAATGTCATTTTCCAAACTAATAAGACGAGGCTGCTCGAATAAGAGATTCGCCAAACCTTTGCACGAAAATTAAAGTTTTAAAGCTAGGTTCTTGAATTTGGTACGAATTCAATCACAGCTACAATATTTGGGATTTATACAAATCGGAGCAAAATGAAGCAAACAAATTTTTTTTACATTAGTATATATACACTTGGCGCTATAATGACATATAATTACTTTTTGGCCCAACTTGGCAAAATTAGTTATAATCCACAATAGATGAGTTAGCAGGTTAGCTTTTTTTCTACTTTTGGACAGCTCAAATAAACACACACAAAACAAAAAACACATTAACAAACATGAACAAAATCTTTTTTAACACAAAATTCTACATACCCTTTGCTTTCTTTTCAATAATTTTAGTGAAAATAGCTAAAGCCACAATAATTTTGTCACGCCCGCAAATAAATAGAAAATATACCGCACTTTTTAGTTTTGCATGCATGTAATCAAACAGCTGACTTTGAAGAGCTGCCAAAATTTCACGGATGCATCAAAACAATTAAAATATTTGGATTCATCTTATTCAAAGTATATACTATTCAAGTTTTTTAATTAAAATAGTTTTACTTTCCATAAAAAATTTGAATTTTCGTCGAAAAATCGGCTCGCTGGCGCAATGTGCTTTGGAGGAATTTATATTTCAATTATTCTGCATTTCTTTTCTGCTTATATAAGAAGCATCAGATGCACTCATGCATACAAGCACGAATACGCACTCACTCATAAACACGAATGAGGCTGTAGTGTGGGCTTCCCCTATAGGAAATTAATTGTTTGATACATTCTTCAGTATATCGATTCTTAATACCTTCAGATCAGTTTAATAATATAGAAATGTGTGTATTTTCCAAAGCACACCTTTTTACAAAGCTGATGGGAAAAAATGAAAAAGTCTAAATTCTATAAAATAAATACGACTCTATATTTTATATTTGGAGAGTCTAGCTCTAAAGATGTAAGATATATAGTCCTTTAAACGGTAACAAAAAACGGGAGTAGTTATCGATTTTTGGAAACAATCTCGATATCTCAATCATATAGTTCAGTTCGTCGTCTGATCAAAAATACCTATATTTTATGGGGTCTGTCAAGCCTACTTCTGTCTGTTACATATATTTTAGGAAAACCATTATACCCTAATTTCCCATTTTTAACAGGCTTAGGGTATAACAGTCTGTTTATATGAATTGCATATTTCATTCTTATCCGCCAGTTATAAAAGGTTATTTGCTTTAGTAGCACTATATATGGTTGGTTGTACTATGTATGTAGCCGCAGGACAAATATTTTATTTATTTAAAATGCAATTGAATAGTTTATGTGCTGATTCTTCGTGGAATACTTTTGTTCCATTAGTTTGGCAGCCAGTTATGTGACGAATACACGATATAATTTAATATTTTATGCATCTAATATTAATGGGCTTCCATTTGTCATCTTCAAAGGGCATGAGTTTCCGCATTTTTACATTTTCAACGTTTCTTATTTTTTCAATCTCATTGCAGGTGAGTGCAGTTATTCTCTTACCTGGTTGCCAACGCCTGAAGCTTTTGAAGTTCGCTTTTTTCGGGTAAGAGTGAATTTTTGATGCGAAAAAAAAGAAATGCGGCAACAACAAATATGCCAATGATAAATGGAATCATTTGGGGCTTACTTTTGTTGTTGCTGTTGCTTTTATTTTCTTACTCGCTTTTGGCATCTCTTATGTCCGTATAGAAATTGTGTTTTTGCTACTTGGGAGTTGTAATGATAATGCACCAAAATTATGCTAATAGCTTAATGCCGGTCCACTTAAATGCTAAGACAGCGGCGACCACTACAAGAAAGGGAAGGCGCTAGATGGAGTGGAGGGGATCGCTGATAGGTAGCTGGAAAGGTAGAGGTAGAGGTAGAGGACACAACAGCAGCCAACGATGCCTGTGATTATGCTTTAGTTGCTTTCTTTCTTTCATTCTTTTTTTTCATTTTTTTTATTTTTTTTTTTGCGTCGAGCTGTTGAAGTCGGCTGCCATTTGGTGGCCGTTGACAGGCGCCAGTGGGCACTTCGACTAAGACGAAGACTTGGACTTGGACTTTTGTCGCACTCTTGGCAGCTGCGGCCAACAATAGCAACAGTAACAAAAACAACAGCAGCAGCAGTGCCAAGAAGAACAATATAACGCAGTGGGCGCAAGTGTTTTGCTTTTAACTTGGCCAAGATTAATATTCTGACACAGCGACACTGGTCAAGAGCGAGAGTGATAGAGGAAGGAGTATGGAAGAGAGGGAGAGAGAGAGAGAGAGAGTTAGAGAGGAAGAGAAAGAGAGAGAGAATGGCAAAGTTGGCATAATGTTAGCAGCTAGCAGTAGGCGGGGCTTGCAAGTTATGAGTTCAATTTTCAGAATGAGTAGAATATCAGCTTAGAGGGTTCAGGGTATCTCCCAGTCGAGCAATCTCGACTGGAGCCTTCATACATGTTTTTTTCTCTCGTGTACTCGCATTGTCCTTAGAAATGCTTGAGGAAAATTGAAGAAGAATATGTGATGGCAGCAAAAAGTAGATAGCAAAGGCAGGACAGCAACAGAGAAGTTTTAGTGGTCAAACTTATGGAATCTAAATGTAGAAGTTCCACAAAGGCAAAATCAATTCAAGTTGAATTTAAAGGAGTGGGCGATGGTAAGAAGTCTCAAATACGAAAAGGGAGATTCAATCAGCGAACCTTAAGTAAGACATTAAAAGAGAGAAAACTTCAGTGGGAGACAGAGTGATTTGCTAATCAAGGGAATTGCATAGTGAGCAGTTAATTAAGGCAACGAATAATGAATGACAATAAAAGAATTAATAAAAGCTGCCAAATTAAAAAGGGATTGGGACGAGCAAACGAAGCGTTGGAGTGGATAAATTAAGCAAATGAACGAAAGTCTAAGAAAGAATTTTACGCAATGCTTGAAAAAGTTTAACAATAAAGGAGAGCAACGGCAAGAAAGAGGAAAAAAATAAAAGAAAACAACAATTGCAACAACAACTAAGAGGGAGAAACCATTTAAGCGCTGTGTCAGCGTAAGAAATGATTTTTTAAGTACAGCGTCAAGAAAAGCAACAACTGCAGCAAAAGAAAAACGGAGAAGCGGATGGAGTAGGGCAAAGAGGGCTGAGAACGGAGAATTGAGAGTTTGAGAGTAGAGGGATGAGAGCTGGAGGTTGGTGTATAGTCACAATAACGACCAAATATCCATCAGCAATAACGACAGCCTCTCTACAGCCCTGAGCCCCCAGCCCTCACCCCTGAGCAGGGGCCGCCAGGGGGCTTCAGTAGCCGTTGACGGAAGCACCGAAAAATGCATTAAAAAAAAAAAAAAAAAAAAAAAAAAGGAAAAAGAAGTTGAAAAGTAGAGCGAAATGAAAAAAGATGGGAAGAAAAAGCGTGTGCTTCAAATGCAAAAAACGATGACGCGTACGATAAAGGGAAACAGCTGCAAGAAGCATAGGAAAACGGAGCAGAGCAGACCAGATCAGAAAGAAGCGAATGCCAAATACAGTGACATATAGTTCAGCAAACAAAAAGCGAACGCAAACGTTAAAGTAAATGATTTTTTTAATGATTCGCATGACCAAATGAAAATCGCGAAATCAGCAAAAGTCCAAATATTAAATGATTTGCAATAACTTGTGCATGTGCATGCATGCGCGTGTGTGTGACCGCAACTGCGATCAAACAACGAAATTTGTTCCAATTGATGAAAGAGCCAATGAAATCATATTTTTATAATGAAGGCGTTCGATTCTCGTTCGATTGACTGACTGACCGTGTGTAGTCTGCCCTCCTAGAGACGAACAGTCAATGATATCCGTATAAGGAAAACTTGGATTGGCTGACTGATGGTTCGACTGACTGGCTGATAGTGTAAAATATATATATAGTATTGTATATAAATCTATATTTCTCAATAATAATAGGAAGCGGGTTAATTGATATACTGAGTGATTGACTAACAGGCTGAGCTTAGTGATGAAACTATTTCTATTAATCAAATTAAGCTCACAATAAAACTTACAGCCCAAGCAATCTGAGTTAAGAGCTGAATGTTTACTGTTAACAACATTTATAGGTTATTTCTAAAAGCAGGTGTGAGGGAGCTTTTAATAGGCACAAAATTGCATAATAACAATATTTGTCAAGAAAAAAAAATTGTAATTTATGTACGGAAAGTACGTAGCACGAGGCAGAAGGAGAAAACATTTATCATAAGTCGTTTTTGGACTTAAATTATTAATATATTCACAAAGTCTTAAAATGTAATATAATCCATACGATGATTAATGAGAGAGAGAGAGAGAGAGAGAGAGAGAGAGAGAGAGAGAGAGAGAGAGAGAGAGAGAGAGAGAGATATTTTTTAATATTGCACACTTCTAATAATGTGAATAGTGAAGTCAATAATAAGTAAAAATCAAAGTGTGTAATGAAATAGCATCATTAAAGCAGCTGAATATGAAAGAGCTGAGCTCAGTTGTATTTTGATACGGATGTTCGCACTTCAGCTTTCATTTCTAGCTGAAAATACTGGACGAAATGGAGGACGAGGCTTACGAGGGCTAAGCTCAGACACACTCAAACACACACTAAGTACACACAAGTAGCTTTTATTGAGTTGGAGTTGGTCTAAATGCAGACGAGGCGGAATCTCAGGTTCAACTCAACTCAATGACATTATGATGGTCGCTTCATGTGTGTGAGAGAAGGTGCTGCAGCTGCCAGATTTCAGTACCAAATTTCACAACGGAAATGACCAAAGCGGAGACTGACTGCAAGGGGACAGCAGCTGCCCAATTGCCAAACACACACCAGCCACGACGATATTCACATCGTTTTTATACCCTGAACCCATTGAAAATAGGAAATCAGGGTATAATGGTTTTGTGAAAAGTATGTAACAGGCAGAAGGAGGCGTGGCGGACCCCATAAAGTATATATATTCTTGATCAGGGTGACGAGCTGAGTCGATTTGTCCGTCTGTCTATCCGTCCGTCTGTCCGTATGTATGAACGCGTCGAATTCAGGAGATATAAGAGCTAGAGACTCTTTTTTTTAAATGTCCGTATTTACAGCGCGGATATCGAGTTTATCACTAAAAATCGATAACTCATCCCGTTCTTTTTTTATCGATAAAAAACCTTATCAAAAATCTGCTATAAAATTATATCTCCTACATCTTTGGAGCTAGAGTCAAAATCTTTAATGTTTACTTATATGCATTTTATACAACTTCGATTTTTGTTAAAATCAGGGGATACAGGGGATCTCGTAGTCGAGCAGTCTCGACTAGATCTTTCTTTGGCTTTGGTTTACATCGAGCGATGAAATGAAGTGAATTTGAGTTCTATTACGAGACACACACTCAGCCAAACACACACCCATCCATACATAAACACACACACGCACACACTTACAGTTGAACGAGCGCGCGTCTCGCACACATTTGCCACATCAGCAAATGATGTGAAAATGACATTTCCAGGCAATGGACCAGTTCGGGACACAGAAGGTGGAAGTCCAGCCGCACTTTGAGTCCAAATTGGAGCCCAGCTGAGCTGTCGATGTGCGGCTGCTTTTGGTTATCAAACCGTTTATACATACACAGACACACCCACCCACGCGCGCACACATACAGAGAGATAGAAAGAGAGAGAGAGAGAGAGAGAGAGAGACAGAGGGAGAGAGAGAGAGAGAGAGAGAGACACACACGTAACTATGGTCATGCAGTAAATTTGCGGCTAGCGTCGAGCAAAAAGCGCACAAAGTACAAAACTAATGATGGGTGATGGCCAGATGGGGGCAAAAGGGGGCCGAACGGCAAGCAGCGACAATTGAGCTTATCAAATTGCCCATGCATGTCACAATGTGTGTGTGTATGGGTGTGTGCTTTAGGGCATGTGGTGAGGACAAATCAAATTTAATTGAAGCGTTTGCCGATTCGCAAAACACGTCGAAAACAAATGGTATATAATGCGGCATATCAATCCAATAATACCCTATAAAATGACTAATTTAATGTAAAAATATTTATATATATCGATATGACTGCTCTAAGTTGTTAACTAATGTAGACCTTGTCAAGTCTGACTGAAATAACTGGCTCAAAGACATCGAAATGTCGCCCAGCCTGCCGTAGTTCATGTAGTTAGTATAAGTCTGTGAAATGATTTAATATAAGAACTTTTATCATATTGATAATGACCCAAGTAATTTGCCCCTTATTATATAGAGGAGAAAGACTTTAGCAATGCTTCGTAGAGGGTAAATAATAATTAAAACTGTTGCCTATTTTTGTGGGCGATTGCTTCGGGGCTAAAGTTCTGTAAGTGCTGCCATTTAAGCACATAAAAACAGCAATTTATGGCCAAGAATATGCCACAAGAACGCAGCTGAGTGTATCCATTGGGTTTACGAGTCACCGAAATGCTGCTAATTATACAAACAGAACAAACCTAAAAAAAAAAAAAAAAAAACAAAACAAAAAACGAATTTGGGGGAGGGCTAAGAGAAATAAATGTCTAACACTCGAGCGGTGACGTCTTTGTCGAGTCTGGCA